GTTGTGTCGTGAATCCGGAGATGGCTTCGACGCTCGCTTCGGCCGGCCTCCAGCGCGATCTCGAGCGTTGATATCCGGCTTCATCGCTTCATCTGGGTGGGAAGGTCCAGAATTAGCGTCCCCCTCGGAATCCACCTTCGGGCCCGAAGCATTGCCCGCCTTGGATGCAGTGATAGAAGCCGCAACCGCCTTTGCGGTAGCCAAAGCACTGGCTAAGATGGAATTTGGAGGTAGGGATTGAGTCATATCCGGTACAGAAGTGTTTGAATCACCCACAATGCTCGAGCTGCTACCTTTAGTTGTAACGAGGTTTTTTTTTGACACAATGAGTGCGTTCGGCGACAATGTGATAGAACTGTGATCGGAGGCGTTGTCAGGCGTAACTGAACTCTGTACTTTTTTAAGTTCTATTTCACGCTCCTTAGCCTCCACCTGACTTTTACGTAGCTTAGCCAACTCAGCCTCTAACTCAGCTATGTTTGCTTTTGGGCGAGCATACAGTCGAACAAGACATAGAGCGATTTCTCGTACAGATTCCTCGTCCACAGTGAACATTTCCCACCAAGCGGGATGTCTGGGTAACGGAATCCCTAACTTGCAAGAGGCCAGATATATGCAAGCACAAGCGATCGCCTCCGGCAGGTAACGAACAAATAGATCCGTTCGCAAGCTGTCGTTCATATAGTTCCTGGATGATAGAAAGCAAAGACGTTAGTACACTGCAATAATCCCAAGGGTTGAAAACTCGAGGGGGTCACGGCGAGGAACTCACTAATGCATTAAGTCTGGTGTGCAAACACGAAAAGAAAACCCACCACAATCAAGATCGTTAGCATTGTCGTAAGTCATAAAAACCGAGGAGAAACAAGCTTACCAGGCGGTCTGCACGAACGTTGGATTGGATTCTTGGCCAAGTGCTTGAAGGTAACATATGACTAGCTAACGTAAAAGTTGTGTACTAATCGTACGTAGACATACTTTGTGAGGATGTTTGGCATGCACACAGAAGCCGAGCTCTTTCAGTACTCGACGCTCCGCCTTAATGATCTGATTTTTCAGATTTGTGTAGCTTTGGTCCAACATAACGGGTGTGGGCGTCCTGAAAATAGGATTCCTCATATGATGATATTACCTCTTTTCCCGAATTTGCCGCATATGGTGGAATACATTTATTATGTCTCTGATGCGTCTTGGACACTCTTCTAACTTCGCTGCCAGGAAAACACAAGCCATTGCGTAATGCTACGGGCCAGTCAAAGAAAAGATACAACTCACTTCATAGAAATGGCGCACAAATGATTTCGAGTAAAAGAATCGCTGATAGAGCACCTGAGCAGTAGCCATTGCCACCTGCGGCAACTTCAGAAGCACTCCAGAGTCCTGAATGAGTTCGCACCCAACGATGCGCAAGTCTATTTCCATGTCGGGGCTCATGTTATCTAATTGCGAAGGCGTGGGAGAAAGACGCTCGAGAGGTATGATAATGTTGTGTATAGTCAATTTGACTCCGCAATAATCCCAACTGGGGTCAGGACCCCTTTGCAGAGTCGACGTCTTGGAGGCCGCCATCACAGTCACACAGAATGGAGCCATCAACGATTAAAACAACTTCGCAGTGTTAGGTCAGATCAGGCCAGTTTACAGGACGTAGTGGCGGCCTGCCAATTTTTCCAGCTTCTTGTGCTGATGGGCTCCGTGGATCCCTTGTGGCTACGACAACAGGAAGGGAATAACTTCTTCAATTAAACGAATAGGATACAACTGCGCTACACCGGGCGTGTTCGAAATTTAGCGTGAAGCGTCTCAGCTTGGAAAATACCTCAATTAATCGAACGGGAGGCTGCAGGATCGTGATAAAACAGGAGAAAAAAGGCGAAAAT